TTAGCAGTGTTTGGGAATATTGTGGAACAGTAAAAAGGTATTTAGTGGGATCCTGGGCCAGGTGAACGTTTGTGTTTTGTAATTAGCAAACAGATCTGGTTTCAGCAGGGGTGTATGATCAGGCACTCTAAAATATATGTAGTAATGTACCCACTTCTCTGTTGCAGCACCTGCAGGTGCTGAACATAATGGCATTGAGCCAATATTTTACACCCAGTTTCTTGAATCTCATTCAATATGAATGCCTTGTGGGCAAAGTGAATGATAAATTCTCTTTGTTCTTTTATAAAAGGTCATCCTTGGGATCTTTTTTCCAGTGTGTTTTTTTTTTATTGTGGGATTTGGTTCTTGGAAGGTAGAGTGAGGAGTGAAATACAGTTTTGCACTGAGCAGGCTACCTCGCTATGGAAAGCCTTGACAAAAAAGACCAGCATGTCAATTTTATAACATTAAGGCACTAATGCCAATGTTTTCTGGTCAGAAATGCATTATGTTTTACAGAAGAGTTATTACCTTGTGACGGGAAGGCATGACTGTGTCTGAGGTACAGACTAGAGATGGCAAATACAGTAACATTTAGCAGTTGAAGCCTTAATGAAAACATATTCTTACCTACAGCAGAAAGCAGGCACATAATTAGGAGAATTAGCACACACCAAAAAACATCTGTGTTCATTTGTCTCTCAAGTTTACTACGTTTATAGCGAGGTCCGCTGTTGTTCAATAAAGCTTTGGTTTCATGACCTTCAAATATACATCAAAAAAGAAAAATGAAATGCTTTTAAATCCATGAAGATCTAGACCTAAAAATATAAGTGTTAATGGGCTAAACATAGATAATTAATGTTAATCATCTGCTATGTAATCCAAGACCATGTTATGATTGCCAGCAATATTAAAGAAGCATTGTTTAATGTGACATTTGATATGAGAAAGTGTGTTAAATGTTGCTTATAAACTAGTTGATCCTGTGGCTTTCGATGGTCAAACCACAAGCAAATTAATATGAAATGCTCTCAAATCACATTTAAAGTGTATTCAATCCCTAACAATGAACTTCTCTTTTTTGCTCCCATTTGGTCTGTCAAGATTACCTTTGGAAGCATTTTCTCATATCCATCTCATCAGTGCAAAAATGAAAAAGAATTTACGTTAAGTACAATTTTTTTTTTTTTGAGAGTACTTAGAGGGGGACCGGAACAGTAGAATTAATATACAACTGGTTTATACAGCTGCCTTAAGGAGGACTGGACACTGGCATAATAAAAAAAAAAGTTAAGCCAGTCCATTGTACAACCCCACCTTTAACTATTTGCTAGTGTCCAAGGAGGTTGAACGCTTTCTTTTATGCTCTGAAGAAAACTCTAACTCTATTCTAACTATATTTTTCTCTTGTCACTTTATTGATGCAGTTCAGTTTTTGGAACTTCAAAACATTTTTTCCTCTCTATTTGCAAGCCCTGGTTTTTTTTCTATGGCTCACATTCTGCACACTGTTTTGCAGTACCCCTTATGTTTGCTGTTTCTAATTTGATAGCACTCCAAATTCTGAGGTTTTTTTTTTAGTTCAAGGTGGTTCTCTGGCTCCCTTTTAATCTGGACCCTCTTACTCTGGTCTTTTGCTATTACATCTACACTTGGCGGTCCTATTTATATTCTTGGATGTTTTGGACAATGAGGATACATTTTTTTGTTATCCTTGGGAAGAAACCTGCCCTTCTGGATTCTCTCCGTACACCAAATCTTTTCCTGTTTACCTTTTCAAGTTTTTAAAGTATTTCTAAAAGTATATCCAAAGCTCAAATAGGGAATGGTTAAAACCCAGGTTTTTTTTGCCATCTGTGTCTCATTCAAGAGATATTCCTTCATTTGCAGTCCTGAGGACACAATGAAAAGAATGAAACGAAAAATATTTCCCAGATTATGTAAAACCCCTCTTCATACAGTTGTCACTTTATTCCTTTTTTGGTCACAACTCAAAATTTTGGATTGTCCCAGTGAACAAAATGACCACCAGAACAAATTTGAGGGTCAATAAAAAAAGTAATGCTTCCATGTCCGTAACTGAGATCTATTAGAGTGACGGTATATTTTAGATACACACACTTTGTGGGACCCGCATTGGCATCTGTGGCTCCGCCACTCGACATCTCTGGGAGTGACTGGGTTATACCTTGCCCTCCTAGTGTTGGATCCCTGCATGACCTTAGATCCCTGGGTGAGTGGCTGCATATTTCATTTATAATATGGGTGAAGAAAGCGTGAGAAATTTGAACATGAATAGATATTGAAATACATAGAAACAAAAACTTTTAAGTGATTGAAAAAAACTAAAATTGTTTATATATTTACTTATTCATTAAGGGCATATTGAATATTGGATGAATATCTGAATATGTTGGACAATATAGGTGATTGAAAAAACTACAATTGTTTATATATTTATTTACGTATTCATTAAGGGCATATTGAATATTGGATGATTATCTAAATATATGTTGGACAATATAACTGGCTGTATACCATAGTGAAGACATAAAAGTATTAAAGAAATAACATGCATAGTCGACTATAAATGAAAATAAATTGGAAGCTATTAAATGAATATATGGTTACTTCTCAGATGATATATGTATACATTGATTGATGAATAATATTCTATATGTCTATGACTAGATTTTCTGCCAAGAATATGAAAAAAACCCCCTGAAGAAGCTATTTTGTGAAACGCGTAGGGGACAAATGAAGCGGTATAACTATATATATATGTAACAGAATGATGGATCAATGATTATCATCAAGAAATGGATCCTGTTATTTAATTAATTTATATGCAAGAAATGAGCGATTTGATATCATGTTTATATATTCATTGTTCTTTTGTAGGTCCGTATGCCATACGTCCTTGGCAGCGAAAGGGTTAAACTATGATCATAGAAAAACATTTTTATGAACTGAATTTATATAATTTTTGAAACTTTGAGTCCTCTCTTAAGAAAATCCCATCACAACCTTGGTTGTTTATCTACGTAATTGACTAAACTGGGGGTGAGGTCTCAGAATACCTGGGGTTGGACCTGGAAAAGTGCCTTTATTTGGAAAGGATATTAGAGTGACTGTGAATGGGATAAGGACACCTCTATAACATTAAACATTCACAGTCACTCTAATAGATCTCAAATTACAAACATGGAGGCATTGATGAACTCTTGTGGAATGTGAAACTCCCAGAGACACATACATCAATAAAAACACGGTTCTAACCCCTCACCACTCTATATAAACCTGAAACTTTAGATACACTTTAAATTGCATCTTCATAGACCTTCAATGTTCACTTCCACCATAACGACTGGTCTGGGCATGGTCTGTCTTTTCCAAAAGTGGTGTCTAAGTATCCAAAACATGCATTTATTTCACCAGCTGAAAACACATGTATAAATCAGTACCTGCATAGACAACGATGCCAGAGACAACCTCTGTGTTCCTCAGAGTGCAGCCACGTAACAAGAGGTTCTCCTTGTGAAGACCCGATTTCTTTGCATTTTTATGAACCCTAGAAAGAAAAAGTAGGTTATGATAATATATATATATTAGTAGTTCTAGTTTATCAACTCTATATCTGGTGCAATTTTACATCCACTTGGCTTGCCATGTTGAGGAGACAAGATGATGTATATACACATTAATCTATAAAAAGGCTTGTAGATGAATTCTAAGTAATGGTTCAAGGTGGTTATACAATTTTCTAAAAATATTTAGAGATATTAAACTGGACGCTCAGCAATTTAAGTTTTTTGTCTTTTTAAATAAAAATTTGTTTTTACCCCTGAACAAAAGATTAGATCCGGTCATACATAATATCCTCATATGGAATCATGAGTACATTTATTACACATTCCTATATTACTAAAAATAATTAAAGGGTTTGTTCACCTTTATTGAAAATCACTTATACTGTCCCTAAACACCATCCCATAACCCTGAACTAAGCAGATTTAAAAAAATAAGCATCAATGCAGTTTTTATACCTTCTGCTCATTCAGAACGGAGCAGCTGTTGGGACAAGAGTCCCCTAGAAGTAGTGGAGTAAGCACTGTTCTCCTCTTGATCCCCCTCACATGTGTGCACTGTCTCAAGTTGCAGCCTCTGAGGTCATACACGGCGACTGGAGACTTTTCTTGTGAGAGTTGGCACAAGGTATGAAGACAGCATTAATGCCTACTTTAAAAAAAAAAAAAATCTGCTTAATTCCAGGTTATGGCATGGTGTTTAGGGACAGTATAGGTGACTGTTCGATAAAGGTGAGCTAAACTTATAAAAAAAAAAAGTCAGCCCTCATAAAAGTTACTCATCTAAATGACTCGACGGGTTGCTTGCTGGTAGTGACAGCACCAAATCTCAATCAAAATCTGGTAACACTAGGATACAGAGGTAGCAATGCCCTAGGTCTATAACTGCTGATATACAGCTGTGAGGCTATAGGCAAATAAATGCCTAGGCACACTTGGATAACAGGAAGTGCAATGCTATCTTTTTTTAAGGAATAATTTCAGACAAAAATTTAAATTTTTCGGGCTACTGCTTAGGTACAATTAAGAATTCTAGATTTCCCCTATAACATAGCAACTCATCACTTTTTGCGTTCATGTCCACTTTAAACACTAGATCTGAATTGTATCCAACCTTTGCTGGAATTTACAATTGTCATTTAACTCTCCAGCATATTTTTTTATAAACTGGGGAATAGAATGACTCTAATATTAATTGATATATTGACTGCAGTATTTATTCCAGCTAGAAAGAAAGATGTGAACTGCCAGACAGATGCTATTAATTAATTTGTACTGTTTAATTTTTGACTGTTTCTGTTTGGCAGAGCCATCGAGAGTGCAAACATCTATACACCAATCAAAAAGCAGTAGGTTTTCAGAAATGTTTTGCCGTAGGCAAGTTTTAATAAACTATGCAACGCATAGTAATGATTTACATTTGACAAAGATGCACTAGGATTTTGGGCTCCTGGGAACAGGATCTCTTTCTCAGCTCATTTCTCAGAACACGGCCCCATCTATTGGTCTGTGCCCAAAGGGTGTAGGAAAGGGGAAAATCCAGTTGATGCAAGTCATATGTGCAGCTACAAAAGCACACAATCAGAAGTCTCTTTAGTTCACATTCCAGTGCATTATTCCAATGGATCAGGCATACTTCTTGGATATAAAAGTTTGTGATAAACTATTGCTCTGGTCCAGTGAACCTGGCTCTGTTTTCTGGGGTGTGAAGAAAAAGAATTCTGGCCAGGGATGCAGAGTATATTTGCACATTTGCTCTTGAGCCTCACTTTCCTGAATTCTAAAAAGTTTAGTATAGTCCTTTTCTAGTTAGCACATATTTTCAGTTGTTACTGCAACATTTACTTAAAGTGAACCTGTGCTTTGCATATGCAAAGAATAAAGATGCCCATAAGCTGTTCAAATTTCGGCCGGTTTTTGAGGAAACGGCTGAAATCTGCACAGTGTGTGTCGCTGTCGGCACCCTTTTGATCGGCACCCCTCGATCAGCTGATCGAAGGAGCCAGTCGGAAAATCTTTGATCGATGAGAGCCAGCAGCCAATGGGCTGCCTGCTCTAGTTGGGTATTCAGACAGGTTCCGGCGGCACCTGTCAGGATACAATGTAAACAGTGGGATTCCTTGATCGACACGCAGTTAGTGTTGATGGATGAATAGGGCCCATTTTTTCAGTTCAGCCTGCGGGTTGAACGAAAAAAAGTGATTGTATGGCCAGCCTTACTGTGCATTCTGCTACAATCCATGTACATTGGAGATATGTGCCTTTAGTGCATTGGGATGCCATACAAAATGAATGGCACACTGGTGCATTGCGGTAACGCACTACATTTATGTTAATCTGGCCTTAATGTTCTTAGTCTGGTCACAAAGTTATTCAAACAGTTTTGGCTATACATACACTTTACCATACAGGAACTGCCTTTTTGTAAAATGCCGGTTGACTCAGAGACTTGCATTGTGAGAAAGTGCAGAAAAGCACTGCAATGCAGGAAGCAGGGTTTAAATATGTTATAATCAATTATGTCTGCACCCTGTAGATAATTACAAACTATACAGTAGCATACTAATTACTAATTGTATAGTTATCACCTATGTGATAAACAGTTTGGACATGTCAATGCATACAGCTTCATAACAATAAATTCAGCCCTTAAAAATACAAACAGAAAAAAAACCCCACACACAATCTTTCCTCCAATGTGTTCAAAACCATGCATGAAAAATGCACAACAAGCTACTTACAGAAGTAAAGCAGAAACAATAGAAACAAGGGGCTGCTGCGGCTATCCTGGTTTTGAAACTGTAAAACCAGGGAATGTCTTCTAGTTTTTCCATTTCTTGGTGGGTCAGTGACCTAAACAATATGAGCTTATCAGTTGTCCTGGTTTTTCCCCCAAGCTCTATGCTTGCTTTAAGTCACTGACTCGCTAAACGCTGTTTTTAATTCAGACTATTCTTAAAAATTACATTTTACATAATTATTTTATTATGCTGGAGTCTAAAAGAGCAATGCCTTATTCTTAAGTTGAATTCTATCCTGCAGCAATCTATACTCCCTCTGCATGCTGTGGAGCTTTCTTCCATTATTGTAACATACGTGTCTGTGTGTGGGTGTGTGTGTGGGTGTGTGTGTGTGTGTGTGTTGGTGTGTGTGTGTGTGTGTGTGTGTGTGTGTGTGCGCGCGGTCGGTCACATGACCCTCCTCTGTCTTTTTTGCTTGCTCCACACTGGCCTTTGGGAGGAGTCAGGTGAAGGCAGTACACCTCTGCAGTACAGACCACTTTAGCTTTGCCTAAAGACACTAGCATGAGCTCCCCTTTCATAGTCTTTACTGCTCTTATATAGTACAGTACACATTATCACCTAATACAGTAACATTGCAAGGTAGTTCTACTCGCTGAAGTTGTGTGCACCAAACAGGACATAACAGTGTGGTTATGACCTATATCAAAGACAGTGGGTCTTGTGGGAGACTGGGCATCTGCATGCAGGAAATGTGCCTGCTGCAATGCCCTTCAATGAATATTCAGAGGAATACAGTAGGGAGGGGAAGGGGAGACAATTCAAGTGCAACACAGTTTTCGAACCAAGCATCAGAGGCAGAAGCAGATGGGACAGAAACAAAGGAGGTTGGAACTCTTTTTTTTAAAGAAACTTGTTTCTATGGTAGTAAACAGATAAACTCAGGTGTTTCTTAAACAGTACTGTACATATGTAAAAGTATATAAAAGCAATACTCACATGTAACCACGGAACCTGCCCAAATCATTATTTGGCTTCTCACATTCAATGACACTTCTAAATTTCAATGGATCAAATTCCGATTCCTTAAAGAAAAAAGGACAGATGATGTTAAACATAAGGTATTCTCGAATTTTAGTGTAAAGATGCCAATTCTCAATTCTACTTCACTCACTTTGTGAAAACATGATGGCACACTAGTCACTGCACAATATCCACAGGTTGTGTAAATAGACAATACACCAACATGACCAATTTATTTTTGTGCTTCTTCCTGCTGTAAGAGGACATTACGTTTTTCCTCAAATCCGGGTCTTAAAAGCTGTTATTTTAACGTCTGTATTTAAGATATTCTTGTTTACCTAGCACTTTAATATAGAACCTCAGATTGACAGCAGGAAAAGCCACTCCAGCCTAGTCTACCCACATTGCAAGTTAAATACCAGCACCATCTGAAAATGTCATCTAGTCTAGTGGTAAAAATCAATCTTGTTTTATGTTTTAAAGGGAATCACTATTACCTGCAAAGTACAGTTGCTTTTAAAAGAATATCAAGCGTATTTGTTTTTACATTTCTGCAAGAACTGCACACTCTTCGCTCCTAAAATTAAGACATGCACACCAAATCACTTGCTGCTTCCTGTGGGGCGCAACAGATTATATATATATACACATACATACATACACACTTTTTTTTTTTTTTTAATAAGTATGTGCACTGCTGCTATTCAAACAAAAAGTTGAATATACATAGGGGTGTATTTATAAAGCATTCACAGAGTTCTCTCTGAATATCTGACTTCTACAGTTGCACCACATTATGGCCACTAGATGGAATTGGGGAGCATAGGAAATTCCTATGCTCTTTGGCTCTTTCCAGTGGCCATAATGTGGAGCAAATGTAGAAGTCAGATATTCACAGAGAAGGACTCTGCAAACGCTTTGTAAGTACAACCCATAATGATTTTGTCATTTGGAAATACTATCAGATTGGGCATGCCCTTAAAGAAGTAGCATGAATAAACATTTTACATTTGTAGTTAATCTGCTAGGGGACCAAGTGCATGTAGCACTTGGTCTTGTTCAAATCCATTGTGTCCTTGCCAAGCAGTGTGGTTGAACGATTTAACCACCTCTGTCTGTCCACGCGGCTAGCAAAGACACGTACTTTTAAGAGACAGTGCTGGCCTCTGGCAACAGGGGCCGCTTTGGTAACCAGCGTTGCCATTATTAAGAGATTACTCAGCACTGCAGGCTATGATCTATCTGCCAGGGCTGTTTGTACATACACAGCCGTGACAGATGGCTCAAAGCCCGGCAGTACTGAGTGAGCCTTTATGAATGAATGCTTAAAGTGACATTAAACCCTCAGATTTTTTAACATAAAATACTGTAATGTGTACCTTACTGTAATCCATGGTAGTTTCCCTTCTCTTTGCTGCTCTTCCTTTTAAATCCTCATGTCTTCTCATGCTTGGGGAGAACTTCCCTTTGCAGCTGACTGCCTCTTCCTGTAGTGCTTGCTCAGGTTGCAAACCTTTACACAGACACCATGTATCCATTTCAGAGACAAGACAGTCTGCTGCTAAACAGAAGTTCTGCCCAGCATGAGAACAGATACAGATTTAAAAGGAAGAGCAGCAAAGAAAAGGGAAACAACCATGGATTACAGCAAGGCGCACATTACAGTATTGTTTTATGTTAAAAAATCTTAGGGTTTAATGTCACTTTAATGCTATGGGGCTGTGCAATAGTGACCTGAGGGCCAGTAAGGTGATTGTTCATTCATAAAAGATTACTTAGCACTGGGGGCCTGACATCCCTTTGCAGGGCCTTGTATTTACAAGCAGCCCCAGTAGATAGAGCACATAGCTCTGCATCACTGAATGATCTTTTATGAATGAGCAATCACCTTACTGGCCCTGATGTCTCTATCTGGCCCAGTAAGGTGTAATACACTGCCCCATTCATTCATGAAAGCTCATTCAGTGCTGCAGAGCTGTGTGATCTATCTGCCGAGGCGGTTTGTAAATACACCGCTCCGACAGATAGATCACAGCCCACAGTGCTGAGTGATCTGAATGTTCAGATCTGCAGGGCTATGCAATGTATCTGCCAGCGCTGCATGTTAATGCACAGCACACTAGGCTTGCAGCAGTGAGAAAGTTTTAATGGATGAAAGCTCAGCTCTTTTGGTGCAGTGTAATACACCTTAATGGCCCAGACAGTGCTGATTGTTCATTCATAAGAGGTTACTTAGCACTGCAGGGCTGTGTGATCTATCTACTGGGGCTGTCTGTAAACACACAGCATGGCAGATAGATCTCGTCATGCAGTGCTGAGTGACCTTTTATGAATGAATGCTCTGTACTATGTAATACACCTTACTGGGCCTGAAAGATGTCATTGTTCATTTATAAAACGATCACTCAGTGCTGCCGGGCTATGTGATCCATCTGCCATGCTGCCCCGGCAGATCACAACCCAGCAGCACCGAGTGACCTTTTATGAATGAATGCTCACTGCTGTACCTTACCAGCCCCAAAACGGCCAATGGTTCATTCATAAAAGCTCCCTCAGAGATGCAGGGCAATGAGATCCATCTGCCATGCTGTGTATTTATAAGCAGCCCCGGCAGATAGATCACAGACCTGGAAAGCTGAACGATCTTTTATGAACAATCAGCGCTGGTGGGGCCATGTGATAGAGTTCCCGCTGCCCTGCATGTTTATTAAAGACAGCAGCTCTATCACTTAGCCCTGACAGTGTTGATTGTTTATTCAGAATAGTAAATTAACATTCAGCTAAGAGAGGGGGCAGGGGCTTAGTGATGGCTGTAACTCTCCCCACCAAAATGCCCATAGTTTAGGCTCCAGACTGGAGTGGATCTACAGTGAACATTAACATACTGTAAATAAAGTGGTGCTTTTATTCTGCAATGGGGACACTGATCCAAATGCTATATGCATATGTTTCCCCCAGTGGATAACTATAACATTTGTGAGACTTCTTAAAAGATAACCAAATCACAATACTAGGCAATTAAAAGACTATGAGGGGGAAAATGGGCTGATACCATGATTGAAAATGGTTTGATTACTGATCATAAGATTTACAGACATAGGCAGGTGAAGTTCTATATAGATCACATTTGCAGTGAATGTGGAAGCTGCCATTTCCCATCTTCAGGGAGAGGCATGGCTTAGCTTTCACAAAAAAAAAAGTGCGCCTTGCATACAACTTTAACTGCCAATACTATTATGACACAATGGTTTTCATTGATGTCATATAGTTTAAAATGAATAAGCTGAGATTATCCAGTCTAAACTGCCAAGGGTTATAGCAGTTTAGCAGAAGACTGGAAAAGGGCATCAGGACATCCTGCCCTTCACCACCTCCATTTAAACCTTCTCATTAGCTGGGCAACTGGCAGACATACAAATGATAGAAAATCAGTTTGGTTATTCTTTTTAAAATGAAAATTGAAAACTAGTACTGAAGCCATTAATGTTAATAAACGCTATGTTAACCCTTTTTTATTAAGGCTAAATAAGAATACAAGAGTTGAAACACACTTCCTGATGAAAATTCTGCCCCGCCTTCTGTTGGTCATATAAGCAATAGGCTAGGCACTTTGGTAACATGCTCTTTGGAAGGGGAAGATCAGAGTTTAGATTGGAGACTGTTCCAGTGTGCCAAGTAGCACATTCAACTGCCTGTGGCACTGATCAGTCATTCTGATAGCAGCAATCACTGGCGGAACTACCAGGGTCGCAGCAGTCGCAATTGCGACCGGGCCCTGGCGTTCCGCCTGCTGGGGGGGG